TGTTGTGGCGCGGCGCTGTTGATTCGTGCTTGATATTGACCGCAAATTCGCAATGTCTGTCGTGGAATTTGGCGTGATTTCCTTGCGTCGAAGGACTGTTCAGTAGATATCTGGATTACAGAAGTGGTGTACGCAGTACAGAAGCGATGGATTCGTAAACTTCGTTTTTTGTTTAAGTATCCTCGTCGCCAGATGTTGTGTTTATATTATAACCTCGAATCGAACACACGCACGCACTTGTGTGCAATAATAATGTAATGTGATATTAAGAAATAACTATTATATACAAGCATAAGGTAATTAGTTTAAGATGTAATACGATACTGTATCTAAGGACACTACACACCCGTCCTCTAATGAACTGACAACCTGTTGGTCTTATTATTGACAGTCATTATAACTTATCATTATAGCGAGTAGTATCATATTGTATCATTAAACGAGTGCGCGCATTGTGGCTTATTTGCTTGACATGTGCCTATAGGTACAGTAGTCTGCATAACCAGTAATCGTCCAACACTTTTGCCTGGAAGAGTAAAATTATGTGGCATTAGACAGAGCAAAATATCAAGCCAGGACGACTTAGGACATGTTGTAGCTGAATGGGTTAACGTCAATGCATTTATTGTGTTTTCACCATAGGAAGATCACAGTCATCACGACAGAGATTTTGAAGTAGACTACGATTACTTTGATACGAATATCTGGCCAAAATTGGCGTACCGTATCCCAGCTTTCGAACGACTCAAGGTAATGCACATCCTAACATTTAGGCCATGTGACACGGGATCAGATAAATTCAGAAATGCGCTTAAATTTTCAAGATCTTGGATGAATTGTACAAGTACAACCTGCAGCTAAATGATCAGCAAGAGTCCACCGGACGAATTTGCATGTGTTAAAATTTCCCTCTCTCCCCCACGTGAAAGTAAAACACGCCTCGTGGTTAAATTGATGTTTAAGAATTTTTTAAAGATCTCAATTTTTCCCGCAGGTAACGAGTGCGTGGGCTGGATTCTACGACTACAATATTTTGGATCAAAATGGCATCATTTCTTCTCATCCCGAGATTGAAAACTTTTATTTATGTAATGGATTTAGTGGCCACGGTCTTCAACAATCTCCTGCGGTTGGGCGAGCAATCAGTGAACTAGTTATAGATGGAGGATTTCAAACTATTGATTTATCACGCTTCTCTTTCGAGAGGTTTAAAGATAATAAGCTAATTATTGAGAATAATATAATATAATATAATCAATTCAACATAATGTCAGCGTCATTTTATTTTGGTGTAAGCATGCGATTGTGTGGGTAGATAATTAACACCAACTTTCAATATGGTCAGAGGCGTTGCTTAGAAGCCTGGTATATAAACATGAGCCATCATTTTTTTTAATCAAGATGAAGGAAGTGATGACAAGACTATCGTCATTTTGCTGGTTGATGACGTCATGTTGTTGAAGTGATGACGTCATGTTGTTGGGTGATGACGTCATGTTGTTGGGTGATGACGTCATCGTTTGAGTTAAGTTACGTTGAGACTTTATATCTGAAGACACTAAACTGGAGGAAACTTTAAGGGATGATTTGACTGGACTTTAGATTCTTTTACTTAAACCATATTAATGATACATTGTCAGGTTTTCGTGAATGAAAAAATTTAAATACCCCAAGACACTAACCTTGCACGATCACTAAAGCGTATCCAGTTCAACATGCTCTGGTGCGCTGTGAAGTTGCGCTCTCAATTTTCTAATGTTTTCAGCGCCATGAAGTTGTTTCACACCACGGGGAACACCACGACATGACGTGAGGTTTAACTCAGTTAAGTTAGGACAAGAATCAACAATACTCCTAGAGAATAAGAGAGAGTACGGTCAAGAAGCGTATTGTATCAAATCGTGAATATAGCAAACTAAGGAATACGTTCAGTATGTAAAGAGAGGGTATTTTACCTGACCCCTACAGTACCCACACCAGTTCCAGCCAGGTTGAGTGTCGTCACAATTGTATAAGGAATACTAGCCAGAGTTAACAATGCAACGTCATCTAAGTTATTACACCATGAAACATCCAGCTCTTTTAAACTGTCTCGCCACTAGAAATACAGAAATATTAATTAAACCTAAGTATCAACATTTCTCAAGTGGACCACCATCTCAGTGCTGCCCTGGAACGCTTTTATACTCAAACTAAGCTACGTACCCTAGTTTTGATAATCTTGAATAAATCTTTCCAGGAAATCTTACATCGTGACAAAAATAGCTGTTCTAGTGAAACTGCCGGGAGATTCTAGAAATATGAAAATATAACTAGTTAACCATGCATTAGTGCAACAATGAGCTGGTTTAAATTTTCTGCATTATCGTGCAGCAGATATGGTCAACTTGCAGTTGTCAGAGTGTGAAAATGTTTTTATTCAGTCTTGTTTTTGGAGTCAAATAATATTAAGCATAAGTGTCGATATTTCTCAAGTTAACCATCATCTTAGTGAAACCATCAATACATATCTTATTGAATGGTTTGATATATAATAAAGAATATAATCGTTAGCTACGTACAGGAAAAGCTTGGTGACTAATCTTCTCACATCCACGTAAATCCAGCTGTCTTAACTTGCTTGATGTTTTCAACAACCTGCGGTAAAAGTGCAATTCATCAATATTTTCGTTGGCGTGCTTTGTCCGCAAGTCAACCACAGTCTGGGCGCAACATAACCGCAGTATGAACGCAGTCATGCGCGAGTTGAGCGCAGTTTATGATAATTAGTTTTCTCCTTCATAAGACACATTTCATTCTTCAATATTTACCTTTGCAAAAACCTGTCATCTGTGCCATCGCCTCCAGTAATACTGGCCAAACTTAGTAATTCTAGATCTGGGAAACCTGCAGATGCATCCTACGAGAAAACGAAACAATCAATGTTGAAAATATTTTGAACATCTGATCATAATAAATGGATTTTCGTATACAAGTTGTCAAAACGACATTGTATATTTGAAATTTAGTCTGTATCAGAGAGGTGTCCATAAGGAGACTTTCAGCTTTACAGTTAGTTGTGAAAAACCCATGGTATACAGGATGTCATCCTACAAGTCTCAAACCTGGTTGTCAATCACAGGGTAAGAGATAGCGTATGGTATTAGGGTGTTTCGCTCAATGATGCTAACCAACTTACCATTTGATTGGCTGTAACTGTTGATGGTAGCAATGATAACTGGGACAGCCTCAGCTCAATCAGATGTGGACATCCTGCCTAAATACGCAAAACAATTATTTTAACTATATGCACTACAATCAAAGGACTGTTCAAGGGTTATAATGTTATAATACTGGTATCATAAGATATGTGTCACCTGCAATTTTTCTACGTGGAAACTTGTGATGGACGTGCAAGAAAGATCCAAGATCTTTAAGTTTTCACAACAAGACTAAAAAAATTACAGTAACAATAGAAATTAGCTATAGTCCTGGGAGAACTTTTGGTTAATAATGATCATTGAACCAATGTATAAAACGAAGCTTTTAATATATATTCTAAACTTTTATCCCAGTTTCTTCAGAGTGTATTTTAGATATCAGCGATTGAATGATCCTCAAATCCAGGAAGGAGTATTAATACCTGCACAGCGATCAAACTAGGAGTTCCAATGGATTTATTTCCTGCCAAGTATAGTGCTTCTAGTTGACATCCTCGTTCATGGAGTAAGTTCTTAATCGACATGTTTGATGTAACATCTGTCTGAAGTAAAATTACAAGTAGAAGAGGTTGGTCAACTATACTATACCCATTATCAGAGTAAGAAAATAATATTAATACTTTTGAACATAAGTAGTAATCTTGTATTTGGAGGCAAATAAATATAATTGAGAGATATAATTTTCTTGTTCCTATAAAGTGTCAACATTTCTGCAGTTGACCATCGTCTGTTGCTTGTAAAATGCAAACTCTTATTGAAAACAGAATAATGAAACACAACACAATATTTATATACCTGAACATATGACAGATTGATTGATGTCAGTTTAGTGCAATAACTTGCAATAAGAGATACTCCTCTGGCTGTGACCTTTCCACATTTTGATAAATCTATCGACCTTAGCTCCATACAATGACTGCCAATAACCTAAAGGAGGAGGTATATGCTTATTATATAGAAGCAAGCACTGACAATGCTATTAGTGGGCTGCAGCCATTTAGCCAGGAGGCTGATTATAACCATTCTACAAACAACCATTTTTAAGCAAATAGGTTGCCCTGCCCCCAGTATTTCATGGAAGATCAGGTTGGACATCCTGGTCTCTTTCTACAGAGACCTGACAATGACCTGCATCTGTTTGAAAGGCATGATTATCATGTTATTCTACCTCCAAGCCTGAACTTGTCAATTTATGCCAACCATTGAAGTTCAAATTTTGTATGTGTTTTAAGAAATTTCTTCCTCTCAATAAATTCAATGTTTCATCCTTGGCCTTGAGAGAGTTTGCCATAAAAGAAAGATCGACAGAGTACCAGAGAGACGCATCTGATGCAACAGCTTGCCATTTCCGACACACTTGGGAAATTCTGCAAAAGATTGATAGAAATATAGACAAAATTATTGCATTTGATTATTTAAGCAAATTGTATATCTGTATATTCAATGTAAAATCTACTTTAAATTAAATGACTAGCATGTCATGAGGCCGTGCAATCTGGTTATATATTTCTCACCTACATAAGAATGGTACAGCAGAAAAATTATGAACTGCTGACAGAAATATTTTGTGAAGCAGCTCATTTGGTATTCTGTGTGACCAGTCTAGAGATGTCGAGGTATTCTTGGGCTGGATTTCAGTTCGCGTCGATTTCTTTACAGCTGGTTGAGAACTTGATTGTTTTTTACCTTGCAGAAAAAATATATTATTGGGTCAACTGGCAGTTACCATAATGAGAAAATGTTATGTGATAATTGTAGTTTAATTTGTTGGCTCCTGTAAGTGTCGACATTTACTCACTCACAAGTGTTCATTGCAGGATAGGGCTGAATATTAAATTGTTACAAAACTGGACAAAGTTTATTGAAATCACCGAAGATGAATGCCTGTGAGGTAGTCAACCCCTTTCTTCCTTGTATGACCAACATCAATGAAATATAGCAGTTGGTCTCGTAATACCATACCTCGTTTCCTCTTACTAGTACTGGGTTGTTCACCATCTGACGGTTGATAATCCGAGTCTTCACTATCATCTGACGGCAAACCTTCAGCACTGCCAAATGCTAGCAGGTTATGTTGTGAAACTCCCGAAGCAAATTTTTTCTTCTTTGAACTCTTCTTACCCCGTCCAGTCATGATGTCATCATTGATTTTTGACAAGAGAGGTTGTCATAAACTCAGTGAAGATTTAAAGTTTTCACCAAGTCATATTAAGGCACATATCTCCCTTCTCACTCAGTTCCACAATTTAAACGAGCTCCAGTATAAACACCAATACGTTTTAATGGTTTTATTATAAAATTGTGGAAAACTTCTTCGAAATGCGTCCAGAAAATAAATGAACCACAGTAGTAACTTGGAAACTATATAGAACTCAGCACAAATAAAAATACTCCATTTCGACAAAACAAAAACATTAAAAATATAAAATTGTTTGCAGTTATTTTCAATTTATTGCTATTTTATAACTTTAGTATTTCAGCCGCCATTTTAAGTTTCGCGCCAATGAAGAATAGGAACCTGGGAACTAATATATTTAATTAATTTAAAGTGGCTCACTGCAGTTTTGACGATCTGTACAAAAGTTTTGTCATCAATATATTGTAATGTAGAACTACATCTAAAATCTTCTATTTAGTTGCAGGAGCTGGGTTAAGAAAACCTGGAGCCTTGTTTGCAGCTCTTGATGGAGCAAAACCAAGAATCTTTTGAATATTCTGGCAAGAAAAATGAGATAAAATATCCTGTCAGACTTGTTAACTGCAAAAATGCAACATTAGACAGAGTAGAACACTAAAGTACAGTGCATTTGGGTGCATTATGACAATATTTCTCTGTAATGCTTATTGAAAGACTGTCATCATACTAACCTGTCTGATAGACATGGTGCATAAAATATAAAGAAATATGAAAGAGCAATCAGTGTAGTCAGATCCTGGGAGGTTACGATGAGATAAACCTTGAAACCATGATATTGGGACAAATGGAAGCTTGGCTACAACTCTGCCATCAAAACTAAATATAAAAACATCAACAACGTCAAACACTAAAATCCAAATTAATCTGGAAAAGAAAGATCAAATACTTACATTGAATTAAACATTCCCATCAAGGCTGTAAATGTAAATCCAATTGCAAACATAGACTTCATTTTAACCTGGTTTAAAATGAATTTGATGTAAAGGTGTATTAGTAACATCAAATATCAAAAAACATCAATGTATGTTTGTCCAGACAATATTTCTTACCATTGATAAGTCTCTGTTGTTATTTTTTAATTTCTCTTCAACACGCTCTAAAATTTTATCAATATTTCCAAATCAATTTATGCATATAAAACCACCACTTGAGAAAACTTATACAGCTGTTGTTGACAAATAGATTTCTTCTGAAAATCCTGAACTGGGACAAAATCGCAAGCTAATGGAAAAGGTCAATTTCTCCACGCCAGAATCTCAACAGCATCTAATATTTCTGAGAAATACAATTTTACCAATTTTCTTCTTCTGTCCACCAGACATATCTGATGTTGTCTCTTTCTTTCGCTCCACTATGAACAAAAATACAAACACAGTCAGCATAATTTGTGTATAAATTTTTCACAATTTCCATCCTATGACTTACATTTCTTGCTATGTTTTTCCACCTCAGCTTTTAATTTCTTATATTTTTCTGTTCTGTACACCAATAAATATGTAATACCTGGTTGAAATATGGAAAAATCTCTACTATAAAATACAAATATAGGGTACACAAACAAAGCTACCAATGAATTCAAGAAATGGACCAAAATATTTCATTCTACAAACCTTCTGCAAGGAGAGCAGTAAATACAGATATACACAATATCAAAATAGCATCCGCAAGCATTTTTTATCTTCTAAATCGTACAAAAATAATTTCAATTTCTTTCCAAACTTTAGATTTTTAATACTTTTATGTAGTAAATACTCATCTGCGCCTGCGAAATTCGGACTGCGGTTGAAAATTTAACAGAATTCGTGTAAGCAAAATATTGACAAGCACAAATATTTACCGGTACATTTATAACTTTAGGACTTTAACATTGTATTAATAATTATATACGTTTGAATGCTTATTTACATTGTCACTTTAATCTTTAAACAGTGTATTTAGAAGTGAATCCAAAGTTTCGCCTGTCTATTCGTGTGTTTCTGTGACTGTTACATCAAATGATGGTCAACTTCACATTTCCATGACCAAATGAAACCATATCATTATTTATTTGCCATCAAATACAACACTACTACATATAATGAAAAGAATGAACATTACTTTGTAGCCCTCATTGACTGCGAGTTCACCACGGAGTTTGAAATATACGGTCATGATTCCCAACATGAAATGATTATTTTCTCAATGGAGTCCTAGGACGTGACCTTGCTGAACCAGCTCTCTTTCCCGTATGTTGACCACCGCCCAGTCTGGTAAGAGTGTTTAGTACTGACGTGATTAAATCCTAAATAAAATGTAGTATGCTGAAATTATCACGAACAAGGAGGCATATTGATAAAACGGTTCACCTCTGACCAAGATTTGATGCAGTTTCACATCAGTCCTGAATACTTACATCGTTTTTTGAAAACTTCCTTTTCGCTTCTGTTAAAATTGATTTGACATTGAGTGAATTCACCTCCGTACATATCTCATCTAGTAAAAAGAACTTCATTCATTACAATTTTCAACAACAATCTGATTTCACTTTTTATTAATTCCTCACCATATTCAGACAGTTCACAAAACAACGCACAAATATTCTCCATCACTTCTTCGTCGTCTTTGTGGATTCTATGAAAACAGTTCAACAAGAACACTTGTCACTTTCAAATTTGAGAATTTCATAAAATGACATAATTAAATACCATAACCTCTTTATCCTGGGGCTTACAGTACTGTTTCAGGCACTTTTGAGGGAGGGGGAGGGGCTTCTTGGCGAGGGACGACTTAAAAGAGAGGAGATCTAGAGAATGCAAGAAATATCACATACTTAGCAGCTTGTACAATAATCGGAGCTCCGCCATACTCTCCGCCGCTGTTGAGAACTTGATAAGCACATGACTCTAAAATAAAAACATGCAATGGTCACTAAATGTTGTTTGCTGAAACATAAGATAAATGAACATGAAGTTTTTCGTCTTTAGACATATACCATCAGCCTCGACAATGCTGGCTAAAGCCATGCACGCATTCTTCACAACTTTCGCAACCTAAGAAGATCAAAACCAAGAAATATCAGAAGTTTATGCCAAGAAAACATGCGTGAAAGCTTACACTAACTCTCGTGAGAATTTTTGGTCGCACCTTCATATGTGTTTTAACGGCGTCCACTAACAAACTCACTGTATTACTGTCTTGTATCATTTCAATATTATCATCTGAAATAAGATGAATGTTGAATGAAAAGATTATTTCGCAGTGTTAATACAAGAGGATTACCCAGAAGAAACCTTCGATGTTTGGTAGAGTCAAACTGGAAGCACTCTTCTCACATGTGACTGAGGTGAAATTATGACCAAACAACTGCCTGTCGCAGAAATCAAACCCCAGACACATCGGCACACATAGCAACATCTTGGATCCTACTCATCAACAAGTTATGTTGACTGGCAAGAAAATGACGGTAGATAAAAATTCAGCTCTAATCATAACATGTCACCTTCCATAGACAAAGACCAAAGTGCAGAACAGGCGGACTCGACGAGATCAACACTGGAGTCATGTGACTGCATTGCAATACAGATATCTCGAAGACCTCGTTCTTCTGTTACGATCTTACAATTGTTTTCTACAATAAAAACAAGTTGAAGTTTTCTTAATAAAGAAACGTATTTGTTGAAACGTATGGCATAATTGTGGTAATTTGCAGTAGGTATTGCGAAACAGTGATCAACTTCAGAATTGTCGACATTAGAACCACACCCAACATGGTGTATTTACCATTGACAGCAAGACTCCATACAGCACCACAAGCACTGGTTGCCAAGTCAATATCATTTGGAAATAACCGTAGCGCAGCTAACACATCTTGAACACCTCCTGATTTACCGATCAATTCTGCTGCCGATTCTGCAAACAATAACACAACATCAAAATGTAGTAAATGAACCATTTTCTTGTTTCAACAGTTCTAACTGGTCCAGTATTGTAAATGGAACTCACAGGAGTGAAAAAACTCAGGTAGCAAATATATTGTGTTTGGTGGTAGAGTCAAGGAGAGGGTTTCACTCGCATGCAACTGCCCACTAGAAACAGCGAGAATTAAACCCCGCAGTGTATTTTAATAAATAAATGAAATTCTAACCATCAGCAGACAAGCCCATCAACAATTGACATCCAGCTTTCTGTAGCTCAGCTGATCCTCCGTGAGACTAAATATAATTTCACAACAACGTATTATTGGAATCATGTAAGATATTTATTGAAACACTAAATTTATTGAATCGTACCCACCCTCATTGCAAGTAAAATTGGAAGCATCATTGTCGATGTATAGACAACATCTTTCTCGCCAACTGAAAGATTTTAAAGAGGGAGATGAAGACAACATGTGCCCCAAGAAAGGGGACGTAAAAAAAAGTTCAACGTGAACTCAGAAAGGTCTACTCTAGCTCAGTTGAAAGACAACAGCACATGAAACTCTGGAGAAAAACTAGAATAGGGATAGCTAGGCTGTGCAACAACTCACCCGTTGGAAGGACATTGATCATAACTTGACATGTTTTGATTTGAATATCCAACACACAAAGATTGTCTTTCATTGTCTGACAGATTTGTTTCTTCGCTGACTCGTTGAGAGAGACGTCTGCAAAAGAAATTTTAATGAATGAATGATGGTTTCCACAGTGTGTGAAGCTCTGAACATATATACTGTACAACCCAAAAAATCATAAAACTAGTTAGCAAGTGATAGGAGAGATACCACGCGTACCTCCTTTTGCAGTCAATATTGCAAGATGCTTTAGAGCTTCAACCTGACAAGAAAAAAATTAAACCTAAATATCTAAGACGTACCTTAATTTATCACTGATGTACACTGTAATAAAAGTACATTTAGTTACGAAGTGTGTAATTTACCTGGCAAACAGGCGAACTCTTGTTATCTTTCATATAACCTACGAAAAACATAGTTTTAGTAAAACCGAAATAAGTTCATCAATTCAACAACTTGTTACTTACCAAGGACGCCAGCTATTCCTTTGTCTTTGGGAACTGGTTTGGCTATATATGAATTCAGTGAAAATAAATATCAAATAGTACTATAATATATAGCAGTATAATTAATTCTTAGAATATTGATAATATAATATCATTTCTAGTATACTTGTAACTGTAATATTCTGCCCACCTAATTTGCCAGTTTCTCCTGGAAATTTGATAACAGAAAAAATGAGAAAAAATATTACTGAATTCCTTGCAAACACTTCAATTGTTGAAATTGTTCTTTTTTCTATTCTCATTTTACAGTACCTGAGTTATTATTTGACGAAGTTCCACTTAATGCCATGCTTTCTTTTATATAAGGCAACTCACACAGTTCTCTGGTGAAGAATAAAAAAATATTACTGATAATGGCCGTGGTTTTGTAATGAATTTGTAAAGATCTGTAAAGTCAGTTAAAAAACTCATTAATAATTCATGAAGAAAACACAAAGAAAAATCATGAGCGTGTCGTATCTGTATATATATGTGATACAGATTCATGTTGATTTACATAAAATTTAACTTTGATTTTCTCGGCTTAGACAACGTTTATTTTTAAAATTACTTCGCTAATGAACTCATAAGATGAGTCGTTTTTTAAGTCATTTACAACATTCGCGTCCGTGTTGTATCGGATATACAAACTCTCGCCTTCGGCTCGAGTTTGTATATCCGATACAACACGGCCGCTCATGTTGTAAATAGTACGAAGCAACACGTGAGAAGTGAGGGATTTTCAGGTCCGGCCAAATTTACATGACAAAACAAGAAAAAGATGAATGAGAAAACGAGAAAAGATTCTTACAGGGCTGTCGGTCTTTGTTGAAAGTTTCGCCGTACCATGATTTGTATGATCTGACAAAGTTCTTTCCCGTTTGTGTAGTGCTGTGAGATGTAAGAACATAAGAAAAGTTTACAAGAACTGTTGTTCTTACCACATTCAACTGACGAGTGAGTTGGACTATCATACCATGAACCTTACCTTGCCAACTTTCTCCAGAACATCGTCCAAGACATGAGGTGATTGTTTGATTTGAAATAACGTACTGGAAGCCTGAGCACTCTGAAAGCACAATCTTCTTGACTTTAATTATTACAAATTACCTTTCTTTCCTCATTTATATAATTATTACGCTAAAAATGGTCTCAATTACAACTCCCGAGGCGTACCCACTTACATCAAGAAAACCAGTCGTTGCCAGTTCCAATAAAATACACCCTAGAGACCACACGTCACTTCTTTCGTCATATCTTCATAATATCAAGGTCAACAAACAAACAAATAACGTTGCTACTAACTAACTATAAGAGTTTCAAACGTTCACTGGTTAAAAATATTTATTTGGACGAGCTTTCGACGTCTGCCAGTCTGCAGTTTTCGACGGGTGGATTAAAGTTTAATCTACCCGTCGAAGACTGCAGACTAAGTGAAGGTTTGAAACTCTTAATATGAATCCTGGTTTCGCAACTAACATATTTAAACGTTGCTACTGTTAGTACTATAGTACACGTGTTGTACGTCCTGTTCCACATAAGGATACGGTCTTTCTAAGACTTCTGGTGCCATCCAATTCATGGTACCAACTGTGGTTCTTGTTCTTGTTCTTGCGTCATCCATGATGGTAGCAACACCAAAATCACCTGAAGTTCAACCAGACACAATACTAGTGTGACGGCTAGAATAGCGTGATCTATGCTGGCAAATGGCAACAAATCATATGCCTAATATCGTATTTGTACAACATACGAATCATGCGTCAGTAAAGAAACATTATACCGAGTATACAGACATGGCAGATAGCTTGTGTAACTGCAAGTACCTATTTTGATATTTAGACCTTCTGTCACAAATATATTGCTTGGTTTCAAGTCTCTAAAAGTAAAAATTATAATTAGCCTAAGACGTTTATTAAATTCCAAAAGTCTAAAATACAAATTAGATTGACACATCTAGCGTAGCTACCTGTGTATAACCTTATGTCTGTGCACAAAAGTGAGAGCTTGTACGATTTGACCAAGCCATTTCTTCAAAATCTGAAAATAACACACAGATAACACTTTTTCCACTGACATTTTCAGATACGAATGTTGAGTAACTATGACCACAATTCACTGCCCTTGCATAAATTCTAAGCTTCGTTTACCTTTTCTTCAATAAATTCTTGCTTTGATCTTCTTTGCTTTAAAACCCTATCTAAATCACCTGTAAGTACATTATTATTTTTTTTTTACAAACTTAGTCATAAATGACAGGTTAACCCTACAGAGCTTATTGCTCCATTTACAAGGTCCCTATAGTAGTAAAGGTCCACATAACGCAAACGTTAATTCACTTAATTGTTATTTTCACTTGGGCAGAACAGGCTGGGGAATCAATGGCAATGCAGGAACGAAATATTTTCTTCATTTCTTTTACTTACCTAGCTTATAATATTCCATAACAATGCATACACACATTGCTGATTCCTAAACACAAAATATACAATGTTAAAATTTATGTTAATTTTATTATTATGCAATTGAATCATATTATTAAGCTTTACTTGTTTATCCCATGTGACAAAGAATTCTTTATAACCACAAATATAAGGATGTTGTAAATCTTGCAAGGCCATTGCCTAGAATATAAGGTACAGCTTGTAGGCACATTTTTTAAGCATTACTGTGGGATACCATTTCAATCAAGATGCCATAACTGCTTTAGCAGTTTTGGAGAGGGTATCGTGGGAGAGGGTATCGTGGGAGAGGGTATCGTGGGAGAGGGTATCGTGGGAGAGATGGTTGTGGGAGAGAGGGTTGATCATGCGAGAGGGGATTCGGGGGGAATTGGAGAGATGTGTAAAAAGACAAAAAGAATGGGGAAAGGGGGTGAAAAAATTAGTTAAGGGAATCCAGAGGGAGGGTGGATGATAAAAAATGGAGAGAAAGAGATGAAAAACTAAATACAGGAATAAATGGGGAAAATACAGGGTATGACTGATACCTCTTTAAATGCCTTGTTTGCCTCACTTTCATCATTACATTCAATCTAAATATATGCCAATAGAAATTAAGACATTAAGCAGGGATGAATCTTATCCACGGAGGTGATGAAACACCTCATGCACACAAGTCAAGTAATGGTTCACTTGTTACGACTTTCAATGATGGGTGAAACAGACACACAACAGAATATCATAACAAGATTTTTTCACTAATTCATAAACAAACAATAAATCGCAAGGTTGATATTTAGTCTAGTTTTGTCGGCACATAATTCCCAGGTGACATATGAACTAATATATCAGACAGCCCTACATTTCCAGACTGTAGCGTTAAATTTCAATTATAGACAGTCTGCTCCATTTAAATTACATATTTCAAATAATTACTATCGGTTTACTATTAACCACAACTATTATAATGACAATGGCAAGGTTAATAAATAAATAAATAAATAAATGATAAATAAATAAATTTGTATATTGTTCTCAAGAATTTTAATTCAAAACGTTTAATAGAATCATTTGTTACATTCTGTTATATTTGCAACATACCATGATATGCGCGTACCTTTTTTAATACATATTCTTTCTTGTCTATCTTGTTTTCTACCAAAAATACTGAACCCTGAGCTCCTTTGCCTAGCCTTTGCTTTAACTAAAATACAATGCAATATTTATACACAATTATAACCAAAACAATGAAAACATATACTAAGACACAGTATGCATAGATAATTATAATATTTCGATAGCGAGCTAAATAAAGCATAAACTGTAACATGATACATTATAATTCGGTAATATTATGAATTCCCTATATGAAATGGCATTATAATCTTTGAACACTGGATATATAAACATGTGTTGAAGACGTGTTAATTTCCCCGCGAAGCTTTGCAACATTCACACAGTACCCTGTACATGAAATGCAAGCAGAACTCTCCAAAATTTCTACAAAGTGCAAAATTCATTGTTAACTGTCAAAGCTTACCTTATAATTCTCCATTTAAACAGAACTTTAAACTAAACTTTAAATGAATTTAAACCTTTAACACCTTGCTTAGTTTGCCAAGCTTCTGTTGCTAAGGACACAACGTAAATTGACACTTTGACAATGTTGGCCAATGATGGCCATTCTTTTTTATTTAATCTTTCCAAATGGGGTCAAATTACTAATTCTTTTGTATCCAATAACAAATGGTTGCCAGGGCTGTCCTTTTCAAACATTCCTTCACTGAAACTGCGTTGCTAAAAAGTATTTTGTGTCGTATAAAGTTCCACTAAAAACTCAAATATTTTAACAAGATTGAGGGCAAAGTGTTCTCGGGTTGAGGGGGGAAACACCAAGATGGTTTCGCTGTTAATTTATGGTTTCTTATTTCAACTGGCGTTCAACGACGTCTCAACGAATTCGGCTGACGACAAATTAGACAATAACGGCCATCGCTGTAACCAATATGGAGTATGTCTTCCTGGAGCTGAGGATATAGCAGCACCACCTCGGACAATACTGGCAGATAACACATGTGGTAGCCCACCATATGATGACTATTGTCCATTGACGCAAAGTACCTGTTTTGGCTGTAACAGCACATCTAGTAAAAACATACATCCAGCAGGATTTATGATTGACCGAAGTGGTGGTTACAGTTCATCAAATTTTGAAACTTGGTGGCAATCTCAAAATTGGTGGGAATGGTTGCAAGATGGTGGACAACAACCGTTACCTGTTAATATCACCATTTCATTAAATAAGTCATATGTACTCACTGGTGATGTTCGAGTCACATTCAAATTCACGAAGCCAGCTCAAATGGTCATGGAAAAATCGACAGACTTCGGGCTAACCTGGACACCCTTGCAGTACTTTGCCGACGACTGCCCGGCAAGATTTGGAATGCAACGAAGCCCATTAAACTGTTCAACTAATGCTGTATTGTGCAGTGAAAAATACAGCGACCAAAATGAAGGACCTTTGTACTTTAGTTTCCTCAACTGTTACACGAAAGAAACTTTCTGGGATCCAAAAATACAAAATCTTATCGAAGCAACTGATTTGAGATTGAGACTGGAGTTTCCAGCAACTGATGGCCTGCATGGTTTGCAAGCAGAAAGTGACTTGCGCAAGTATTTTTATGCGATTTCAGACATCCAAGTGTTTGGTCGGTGCCAGTGTCATGGACACGGGAAGAACTGTGAGTTTCCTGAGGATTATAATGGTGGTTATGTGAACATACCAACTTGTTTGTGTGAGCATAATACAGAGGGGGTGAATTGTGAAAGGTGTAAGCCACTTTATAATAATAAAACATGGATGCCGGCAACATCAATGTCAAAGAGAAATTACCCCTGCGAGAGTAAGTATAGAGTGTATCACTTGACCAAGACAAGTATTGTGTGAGTTAGTACCACAGCTTTGTGTACTAGTGCTGTGTGGGCAAAATAGGTCAATGACTTCATCAATAATTAAAATTACATCAACTGTATTTTCCAGAATGTGAATGCTACCTGCATGCTTCTAGCTGTAAATTTAACAATACACTTGGACATGGTGTATGTAATGATTGTGAAGACAACACCAGAGGCTATTTCTGTGAACAATGTGAAGATAAATTTTATAGAAACTTGTCCAGAACTTTGAATGATCCATTGGTTTGTCTTGGTAGGTAATCTCCTTGTTGGCAGTTTCACACCACAATATATTGCATAATACACTCTACCATACCACATTACACCATACCACACTGTACTTGGGCACACCATACCACATACCACATCACACCAAACCATACCACACCATAATTATCACACACTAGTACACTGTGTGATACAACACCATGCCATGACACATATCACACCATACCATACCATACCATACCATACTATACCAAACAACATTGTATCATACCATACCATACAACATCCAAATGTATCATTTACCACCATCAGATTGCAACTGTGCACAGGAAGGAATCACCAACCATGGTTCATGTTCTCAAGAAGTAGCAACCATTGGTCAATGTGAATGCAAACAGAATGTAACAGGTCGGCGCTGTGACAGATGTGAGGATGCATATTATGGGTACACAAACCCCCCAGTTGGAAACTGTATAGGTAAGTGACCTACAGACTAATCAGACCATTACCAGTATTCTGGCTATTATTTACACTTAGACTATTGATCCCTCATGAAGGGTACATTTTGATGATGTATCTTTAATATAAATCACGAACCACATTAACGTCAATGTATCCTTTTCTATTCTACCTCAGCATGCAAGTGCAATGAACATGGTACAGTAAACGGCAGTTTAAATTGTCATAATGTGACTGGACAATGTTCGTGTAAACGAAATACAGATCAACGCACATGTTCTCAGTGTAAACTGGGTTTCCATAGTTTTCCTAATACAACTGATGGAGATTGTTGGCCATGTGATTATTGTGACCCTGGAGGAACGACACCTGATATCTGTGAAAAAAATCAAGGTGGGTCTAACTACAACAACATCGTTATTAAGTATATAGTTCAATAATTAATTGAAAGACCTTAAAGTTCGTTTCAAGTCGTTTGCAGCTAAGAATTAGGGAGCATTGGGGCAATTAACTGGTGTGAGTAAGTGTTCAATCAACTTCAGACACGCTGACACGTACATATTAGGAGCAAACAAAGTTTAAAATTAAAGTACATTTCTGAATCCCACAATTTTCCGAGATTTTTGGCTGTCTCCGCTTGCCAGAAATTAACAGTTGAAGGACTTTTATAGCTGGAAATGGGGAGCGGAAGATTACATACAAATTCAGACCTAACCAGGCAGGGATGCGGGTTCAATTCCTGCCACAGGGCCAATAGGTGCATTTTTCGCAACTGCTGGTTAGGTCTAAAATTGTAATAATATAATCTTCCACTGGGAATTCCCATCTACAAAAATCCTTGTGCCATTTTTAGAGACAACCATATAGATTGAAAAAAAATTAATTTTCTCCCTCTAATAACCCGCTCGCAGGTGGACCAGCATCTGATGCGTGATAGACATGTCATATTGTCTATTTCTCGTACTTTTCTAGGTAAATGTCTGTGCAGATATGGTATACAAAACGAAAAGTGTTCAAATGTGACTAGCAATCGATTCTTTCCAAAATATGACTACTTCTTATACGAGGCAGAGTACCAGCCTGGCAACTACAATATAACCTCAAATATCAGTGAATATAATAAATACTTCACTGGGAGGGGTTATGCAGAGATAAAGAATGAACAATATATCAAGTTTGAGATTTCAGTACAGGTTAGGAATAACTTCAATGTAACACTACGATATTCTATAAATGCGGTCGGAGAATTTGGGATTTCTATACGAGGAAATATGACATTGGCGTGTCCCGAGATTAACCAGGATATACCAATAGATGGCTTACAACCTTACGCTCGTGGTGAACTATGGGAATCAGATGAAAGAATACTGTTATGTCCTGGTATCAAGTACACCATACGTGTGTATAGTAGAGACAGCAATACCTCAATCAAAGTTGATTCACTGTTATTAATACCGGACTTAACACAACTGGACAGTTACGATACTACCGCCCCAAAGGCAACACGCAGTTCTAGCAGCCGTACCCCATCAGAAGATGAATGTCTATCAGATTTTACTACCGTACAACGAAGTAAACAAGCACCACCTGGATGCAGAATTGTGACGTTTTCTACTATGGTGGAATTATTAAACGGTTCTCTTGGTAAGTGGAGTCCATGTAATGTTTTTAATCACGCATTTCACAACCATTTTCTCAGCAATTTTAAATTATCATTAAACCAAAACGTTTTAAGAACTGACAGGCCAACATAGTTGGCAGCAAAAATTATCGGCTGCAATATTTTGCGAATTAGTTAACTGCTAGAGGTTCTCTGCTTTCATTTAGTATTTGTAGTGGGAAGTTAATTAAAGCACTTATTTACCGGTGAGGTGGTATATACTGGTCTTAGCATGACTTTTATGAGTCCATGATAGGAAAGAAGAATATTGCAAGTCTGTATACGTCATCAGACAGCTTAATCAACATGGAAAGTATATAAAGAAAGCTAACTAGGAAACTTAAATCTATCACATTTATCCTATTAAGACGGTGGTTTAGGAGTGACATTATTTCTTTTCTTAGCATGTGAATGTTCTTCAATTGGCGCCATCAGTGCAGAATGTCAGGATTACGGTGGTCAGTGTCGATGCAAGCAAGGGGTTATGGGAAGGACATGTGACAGATGTGAACCTGGATTTTATAATTTCACTGAAAATGGCTGTACACGTAAGTAAACACACGCTCTGACCTCAGCTAAAGCTCCAGGCAACTAAGTTAAATTTGGTAAAATCCACTTTAAGGTTAAAGCAGAGCGCTGTTTAAAGCCAGAAATATGTAGTACGTAGAGCGAGGCGATTTTTCGATAAACCGAAAAAAACCAGATGTTTTTTGAAAACCGAAATACTCGATCTTACTTTTGCAGAAAAACCGAAAAAAAAACGGAAAACCGAGTTTTTTCTAGAAACCGCCTCACGCTATGTTTACACAGAGATGCATATTAACGGATGGTCCATATAGCCACCCAGCATGGTCTAACAATGCAGAAGCATGCACGACTCTATCTTTCATTGCTCATTTTAGCATGCAGCTGCAATGACCTTGGCTCAGAGAATTATGTCTGTGACCCAGACTCGGGTCAGTGTGAATGTAAGCAAGATGTTGAAGGGCGAGTCTGCGATCATTGTAAACAGCATCATTACGGTATCCATACTGGACAAGGATGTACGTCATGTAACTGTAATCCAACTGGTTCTCTCAATCTGACATGTGATGATGTGACCGGGAAGTGTTACTGTAAGCCTGGAGTCGAAGATGTAAGCACGGACAAATGCGACATTTGTCGACAGAATTATTTCAATTTTACTGAAGAAGGATGCCTGTAAGTAACACATTTTTCAAATCTTTTCCAGGCAGTTCAGACACATACCACGGCAGGTAATCGTAGATTGACCTTGCCTTTACTCGATGCCCAATTCACCCGAACCATACGCCATGAAACACATGCCTGACAACTAAGGCCTGGGGTTTAGTTTTTGATGAGGGAGGAAATAACCCGGCGAAAAAGTCTCAAGGCGCAGCCAACCAAACTCTTTGGCACGAATTTCCAAGCACATAAGTCGATACAAGGTAGTCGCTTATCTGAGTAATATTGGCGGGCTTTAGCTCAGAAGTAAGGGGCAGCGCGTTTAACCACGTCTGTCACCACGTGTTTCTTACATTAACAACCTCTGTGTCTAACAACATGTATTTAATGTACTTTCAGGGCTTGTAACTGCAACGAAGCTGGCTCAAGGTCTCTACAATGTCACAATAGTTCTGGTGAATGTCCCTGTAAAGACAACACTTCAGGCATGAAATGTTCTCAATGTATTAACGGAACATTCTCTCTGGAGAAAGCAAACCCCAGCGGCTGCATTCCTCGTTTTTGTTTCAACAGAAGTAAAACGTGTTCTGCTGCAAGTGGTTATGTCCTGAGTCAGATAAAACAAAGCAATCTGACAATCCCTACACATGGGTATGCGAGGCTTTCAGGAAGATTTCAAGGCTTCCAATTATATTCATACGTTCGTGTTTTTGAAGTCAATTTTACAGAGACAGTAAATATCACTAACATAGAGTTACGTCTAAAAGGCGTGGACTATAATGCAACCTTCACACTGAACAGCACTCAATGCCATACACAAGAGGTGGGCAGATATTGTGTAATACTACACGAGAAGTACGCCCAGGAAAAGCTTACTGCCAATCAAATGCAGTCAGTTCTAGCAGATGTGAATGAGGCATCCGTGAGTATAAGTGGTGACTTGAGGAATGGGACTGAGATTAACGTTGCTATGGGAACAGCAATCCCTGGTCGCCGTGGTAACCAGGCAAGTCACGTGGAAAGATGCGAATGTCCTGGACACTACAAAGAGTTATCTTGTCAGAATTGTAATACAGGTAACCCTAGAACATTTTTACAGAATCATGCTTATAGACATGACCCTTGCTGGACCTCTAAAGATAGCAATTGAGAACTGATAAATATATCCAGCATAAAATTAGTACCGTTTACCCACACTGGACCAATAAGAGATTTAAAGGTCTTCGAGGGAGAACAGCTCCGACCTGATAGAGCTATCAAGTATAACGTTCATTTAGTTTACTAACACTGAACCAATAAGGGGTAGTAGCTCTTACTGAACTTCTAGGAAGAACAGTTTAGGACTGATATCAAAGCTTTCATTATACATAAAGTTGGTTGGTTTTATCCTTGCAGGATTCACACGGGAAAATGCAAGTTCCAACGCATTCGTGAACTGTGCTTCGTGTTTCTGCAACAACCGTTCGAAAGAATGTGACGGAGAATCAGGAGTGTGTAAAGACTGTAGACTGTCTCTAGGTGATCACTGTGAACGCTGTGGATTTGGTGTGGATATTGACACTGGATGTCAACAATGTTCTCCTGAATACTGGCATCCGGATATAGCCAATGAGGAGAAAGAATGTAGAGGTATGTTTAGACAGGGGATGTAAATGTACTTTTGGGGGCATATATGTACAGCAAAGGTAATAATATTAACTGATATAGAGCGACCTCGTCTAACGTCTTTTATTCTCCCCAAAGATTATGTCCAGTTTACGTGAGCTTGTTGTCCAGTTTATATGAGCTTGTTATCGAGTTCCATTATCTCAACTGACAAAGGGTCAGTTAAGAAATCTGGAGGTTACGGAGGAAGCAGTATACCAGACGCTGATCAAGCCAATTAATACTTGCCCTCTCCTCCAACACATAATTTAGTGATGAACATTCAGACATGAATTTCTTGTTGCTAGAATTGTCAACATTTCTGACGTTCACCGTGCACTCACTATGTGCTGTCCTCTAACACTTGTCACAGTATCAGTCCACTAAAACCTAAATCAGTCCACTAACACTTTTCTTCTCTCCCTCAAGCTTGCAACTGTGTGCTGAACAACACACTGTATCACAACAGCAGTGTATGTAACGGTACCACTGGTCAATGTTTATGCAAGAGTTATGTTGGAGGGAGGCAGTGTCAACATTGTGCAGAAAATTATTACAACACCTCTCATGGATGTAGAGGTAAGTACCAGCTTACAACGAGTTTCTCAATCACGTCACAAATATCTTAAAACAATGACGCACTGAATGTCCCTGAATCTTGACTGGATATCACGGAGAACAGTGCGATTGTGAAAACAATGAAAAATTCTGATTACTGAATCGTGATTGGACGGCACTTGGTTATATCAAGTGCTATGCCAAGGGACATTTACCCCATACACTATAGCATAACTCTGGTATATACGTGGTCGTTAACTCTTGCGGTCTTGCCAACACAATTCTGTATTGTAGTGGTCAGGGCGCAGAGTCGATGGTTCAATTCGTGTATATTTGTTGTATATTTCCCCCATTTCATCCAGTTGTCCAACGTGTTCACATATTTCTTCTTAGAATGTCCCGAATGTTACGGTTTACTGAAAGTTCATGTTCACAACCTCCGAGATCTCGTTAAGGAAGTGGCCGAAACTGTCAAAAACTTGACAAGAAAATTCGATGATATTGATAACAAGGAATTTGATCGGCGACTGACAATTGCAAAGATTACAGTGAACAATATTTATGACAAAGCCAACGTGACTGCTAACCAAGACCCGAATAACCTAAATATGACTATAGATGTTTTACATAATTTAAACTCAAGCGTTACAGAGCTGGAGGTACACGTTGAACGACTAAAAAGACAGGAAAATGAACTACAAGTGCTCCTTAACAGTACGTCAAACTCGACTGAATCAGCATATGGTAGTCTACAACAGGCGAATACCTCTAGACCTATGATTGAAGACTTGCGGAATGCCATTGGAAGTTTTGTTCAACCTTTGGAGGTAGTTAAAGAAAGTATGAAAGCTTTAAACAACACTCTTTGGAGTATCGCAGAAAATTTGACCACTACTAGCAAATCAGAACTAGATAAGACGTCCCAAGTTCTTTCAAACGCTAAGACAGTTGAAGTCAACCTCAATAACAACACACAGAATATCAACTCATTACAAAACGAAACACGAGCATCCCTGAAATATGGCCAAGAGACATTGAATGCTTCAATAAACTTCTCTGCCCAAACAAATGATGTTTTTGATATGTCCAAAGACATCATGAAAACAGTTGACCATTTAACAGAAGTAATACAAGCAAACAGGAATCTGACTAGAAAGCTAAATGATTCAATATTCAGCCCCAGTTTGGAGTATGAATCAACCATTAACAATGCTTCAAAGTCAGTCAAAGACTCGCAAACACAAACCATTAAGGCTGCAAACGTTCTGCACAACACTGAGACCTTACTGAATGAAGCGAAAGCTATAAACCAAAATGCGACAGAAGCGAATAATTCAGCGACGAATATTTTAAACGATGCCCATACAACTCTTGAGATTTTACAAAATTTCCAAAATACATCTGCAAATGCCACAAAGATGGCAGGGAAATCACTGCAACTGATCAACAGCATAAAAGTGGAAAGTACTAGATCCATCAATGAAATAATGAATGTCAGTAAGTCTGTAAAAGAAGGATTGGAGTACACTGAAGAAGCGAACAGATTGGCAGACCAAGCATATGTTTTGGCTCAGGCTGAAAATCAGGTATGGTATTTAAGTTTATAAAATAGACATTTTCTGAGTCATCTGTGGTAATTGCATTAAAGAATTTCTCAAGAAGTTTGTTGTAAAATAGTAGTAAATGTTCCGCATCCTTGCCGCAAGTGAACACCAGTCATACCCCCCAAATCAAATGAACCGCAACCAAACCGTAAATAAACCACATCTGAACCACACCCAACCGCAACTGCAGTGTTGGGTTACCTGTGTGCGATAAAAATGTAAGACAGGAAAGATATAGGGCGAGAGTCAAGATTGTCTTGAGTACACTTGATTCGATAATGTCATTAAGGACAGAAGTTCTGTAACCTCTTCGATATGAATGTTTTAAAATCAAAGATAACGTCTTTGTTATATAATCTTGAACTGTCTTTGCCAGTGTAGGTAGTGCCAATCAAATGAACAAGCTTTTGTTGGTAGGGTTGTAACTACTTGGAAAATATAAGGAGAATCTTTTGGGTTAACCTCTGATTCTTTCGTAGGGTATTACCTCGGTTCACAACAGAAGCAAGACACTGGACGACCATCACAAGAGTACAGTCTGTTCAAATAACCGGATGTCAGCCTACCAGAGAAATATTACCGCCCGTTCGGGGGCTCTGACATCCTTATTAGCTACATGCCCGCTTGCAGAAGCAAGGAATGCAAATGAGAGAGCGAACAACAGTTTGAACGAAAGTCGGCAAACACAAGATGACTCAGTTGAGACCCAGCAAGATGTGAGAAATGTCCGTGAAGGGGTCTTGGAAACTCAAAGCAAAGTTGAGAATATTGAGAGTGCTGTCAGGGCTGACACACATCAAGAGAAAGTGGACACACATACAGAGTTATTTCAAGAACTGAGAGCAGACTTAGTCAAGTTGAGGCGCGCAAAAGAAAAGAGAGCTTTACTTATTCAACAATTGAAAGAACGAGTAAGGACAATGAAATTAGAGATACAAGATTTGGAGAGTTTACGTGATTCATTTAAAGACATACCACCTTGTACTAAAACATAAATATTACCCATGCATGCTTGAATGTAAATATGAACCAACTGCTACAGTATTAAATATTTTGTAAAATCAAACAAACCAATCCCTTGCAAAGGTAGTTTTGTTGTCTAGTATACATGTACAGGGACACTTTCACAACTTATTTTATATTAAATATCACCCAAAAACAAATTGTTCACTTATGTAATTGTACGATCCCTAGGCATATCGTTTGTTCATTGATATTCAACTGCAAATTTCAAGTTAGCACTACTCAGCATTTGTGTTCAAAATGTGTTTCCCAGTTCCCAGAATCTTGTGGTTTGTTCCATGTACAGTTAACCAGCCCCTTAATACTGCAGTGAGCCTGTTGCCTGCATGCAACATCTTTTCCACACAATCTCCGAGACAAAATTATTCCCACTTGACCACCCTATCGGAAACTACCATATTTTCTACAACCATGATTTCACTATTGAACAGCTACTGTAATTTGGTTCAATTTTTATTCCTACACATTACCACCAGGAGACATGGTACCTTGTGTTTCATCATTTTTACCAGTACTCTCATCATCTCCCATACCAGATATTTTATACTGCTTCAGTAAAACTTCATAATCTGCCTCAGTCATTAATTCTGATAATGCTTCATCAACTTCGTGAAGTTTGGGTAACACCACTGCAATATATCCGTCTGTCATTGGCTGCAAGAGGAAATTTTACACTCATCACAAAATGCTGGTCAAAACATATATTAGTCCTTTGTCAGGGCTTTCAGAATTATTCAGAGTAGGTGTCTGTTTTGATAAAGTAGGCGGCTGTATGGAGGGGACAGTCTAGTTAGGTCCAAATTAATTAGGTACATTGATTAGATAGCAATACAACACAAATAATGATGTATCACTACTTCCATTCTTCAACAAGATTTATTGTCAATTTCAAGTCACTTTTCAACGCGCGGTTCCCAAGTTCGTTGCCAACTTGCCAATTACGTTTCCAAGTTCGGAAATTGGGCGCTAAATTTTCTACAAATGTTTGAACTTTGTTTGTGAACAAATGTTCATACTCAATAATAGCCAACTCAATGAAATACAAACCTTGGTAGACCACTCGACCAAGAACTTTTCTTTGAATTGTTAATTTCAACTTGAACTATGAACATTTGTTTACAATAGTTCAAACATTGAAACGTACTTGCGATTTTTGTTGCAAAGTTCACGCCCCATTTTTGAACTTGGAAACGTAATTGGCACGTTTCCAACGAACTTGGGAACCGCGCGTTGAAAAGTGACACAAAATCGACAATAAGATGGCAAATAACTAAATCAGTTTTACGAAATAGTATGTTGTTTTCGAAAATAACCAGGCTATAAAGTATAGACCAAGTTGAGGAAAATAACTTTGTTTGAAAGCTTAGTATGGATAAAGGAGAGCAGAATTGATGTTTCAAGTACTAAACAAAGTAACCGGCGGTAAACCTTGCGCCACCCGCCAGATCTCTGGCGGCTGCCGGGTTATTTTGAAAGCCCTGCTTTGTGTGGAGTCCAGTTTCATGGGCTGTCAGGGGGGGGGATAAGACAGGACTGACAGGAGCAAAGAGGGAGAGAAAGATACAAGGTTGACAAAGAGAAGTTCAAGAAGGGAAGACAACATGCCACAGCGAGGTTGTGTATGGCTCCCAGGGGGAAGAATTTTTATGCAAGGCAGACTCCCAGGGGGGGGGGGTAGGTTTATTCAAGGCATAAACAGAGAGATATAATTCAGGGAGAAAGAAAGCTTAGCCTAGTAAAAGGACCAACAATGTGCTACCATACATACTTCAATTTTTGGAAATATATTATTATTTGACCTTTTTGTTAAGCAGTCCAGGATTTGTTTCCAAGAATTGATTTACTTCAACAAGTTTTCCCTTGATACAGCTAAACACGAGAATGGCTAGGATTAGGGGACACAATTAGGTTGGGATTAACAATATTAGGATTAAATTAGGATTAATTACTGGTAGGATTTATTGGAACTAGAGTTGGGTTTATGGCATAAATTGCATAGGGTTTGATATTATAATTTTTCCTGGTATGAAATAGGATACCAAGGTTTCAACATCTGCTATCTAAAATTGATGTCATCAAGACATTAATCTCTAGCCTTGCACTGGGAAAGTCTGGAAATAAATCATACCTGTATAAAGTATATTTCTCTCCAGTGGAACAAGTGACGTCACAGAGTGGTGAGGATGGTAGCAAGTGCTGTGCTCCTCTCTTGCCTTTCCCACTCACTTTATTGTCTAAACGATTCACTTTTTTGCTCACTTGAAAATCAACTTTGACCACTTCACCTTTGCTCAGTATAGGATGTCTTGGAGCTACTGTCACCACACAAATCCTAGCAAAACCAACATAGAGGTTTGAATTACATGATCATCTGATAACGTTATGTCACAGTAGCTATGTTGGTATCACAATGGTCAACTTGTTTTGATAGTTCCAAGCAATACATTTTCATTTTGAATAACTCACAGGCATTCATTGCAAGGGTTACAGTTATACTCATGGAGATCACCCCCAATGAATGCCTGCGAGGTTCTCAAACCCATACATTTTCAGTCTTAGGGAGGTAAATATTAATTATATTTTTAGATAACTATTTATAAGCTACCAAATTACATACTTGTTTGAATGTTGTAGTACACATTGATCCGCAAATGGGACATCATTTATATCTGAACAACCAATAAATCACAATTAAAACAAATTATTTAATTCAATGACATTATTCTAAATATTTACACATAGCACAAATTTTGCAAGACAAGTTTTTAACTTTGTTTATTACTAACTTTGGCATTAAGACATTTAATAAACGTTGGTTGTATACTTACTTATTTTATAAAACTTTTTGTAATATCTTTCCAGAACAGAACGGTACTTCGAAATTTTCCCGCCTTCAACCGCCATTTTGAAGATCTGTGCGTGTGGCACACGCGGGGAGACGAACGCGCGGGAATACACGTAACCTTCCACGCAAAAGTTCGGGTTATGTAATTTAGGATTCTGGTTGGGATTTAGTGCTAAGATCAGGGACGTCGCTACTGGGGGGGTTATAACACAGCCTTTGACTTTGAAGGTCAAAGTTGGTAAAATTTGGTCAAAGTGCGAGATAAAAGATGGTCAAAGTCATAAATCGTTCGCAATTTTACAATTTCTAAGCTTTGGTCCAGAGGCTCTGCTTTGGTCATGTTTGCACTGAACAAATTGCAAGCCTTGCTTATTTTGGGCAAAAACTTTTTTGACCCCCCCAGGAAAAGTTGGTCTAAACATGAATGTTGATGCTTTCACGACGTCCCTGGCTCAGATTACGGTAAGATTAGAGTTAAGATTAGGATTTATGTTTAGTGTCAGGATAAGCGCAAAGAAGTTCCTCCAAAGAAAAACAATGACTTCATAATCAAATTTTATTGATAAACACAATGTGAAGAATAATGTACTAAACTAATCTAGGTAACAATTGCAAAATTTATTACGTCTATTACGTTGTCTTTCTTTCATTTCATTTGTTCCAACAACTCACCTATGATGAAAAAAATATGACATCAACATTAAACATTCCACAGACATAGTAGCCCAAAATTTACCTTTGCCGAAACTTACTTTGGAAGAGAGTTGAAAACATCTTTCATGAATTTCGCTGGATCGCCGAGTTCTCCAAGTAAGCCTAAAAATATGGCGTCGAGTTAATTAAAGAGAAGTTTGAAAATAAAATCTTAACCCAATGTGTGTTTCACGGCAAACACTATCGTGCAGCAGATGGTGGTCAACCTGCAGTTATCAGAGTAAGGAAATAATGTTCATTCTTTTCATTATATGTCGTGCTCCTGTGGCAATCCTATAATGTCAATATTCATGAAGTTGACGACCATTTGCTGCAGAATCACGCCAATGTTGTACACAAATAGATCATCAAAAATCACATGAATAATTCTACCTGCAACATCATAAAACTCCGAGAAGGATGACGCCGGAAGAAGATCGTCTTGATAAAAACTCAACAACTAAAACCCAAACCAGAATTATTAAACTTAAATACGTCATCTAACTGAAAATCTCCAAAATAAAAAAACGAAACAAATGAGTGTACCTCTTCACAGGATTTCAAGATCTTCTCGTCGTTGTTTCGTATGAACGAGGCAACATCCTGCGACCAAGATGATGTCGAGGAAAGATGTTCCTATGAAATAATTTACAAAATATTCGCGACTTGAATCAAAGATATAAAAAATAAATCAGTTACCGAGATCTTTATACCTTCAACATGTGGTGCAGTTTGTTAACAAGAGCGAAGAAAATGAGAATAGGACGATACACAGTGTAAGCCTTCACTTCACCATCGCTCAGTCTACAAGAATACATCAACAGAAAAGACAGTTGCTTTGGTTTGTTTTGTTTTGGTTTCCTACTGTAGTAACACTGGATCAATAGGAGATGATCCTTACTGGACCTCTAGAGAGAACAGTTTATAGCTGATAGAGATATCCAGTATGAAGTTAGTGTTACTACAGGAGGAAACCTAAACTAAACTGGATCAATTAGAGATGATCCTTACTGGACCTCTAGAGAGAACAGTTTGGAACTGATATCCAGTATAAATAAAGTTAAATACAAATTCTTTGAGATCTTACTTTGTGGCTCCTTTGGGAAACACTTCACGAACATGAGCAAGGACAATTAATCTACTGAGGAAAATCATTCGTATCTTCTTCCATTCCTCCAGGGAGTGAGTGAACAGAGACAACACAGTCATGAAGAGAGGACCATTCACCTACGAAAATAAAGTCGAACTTGTATTAGCACAAGAGGAATGATGGAAAACTAGGGGAACGTAATGATATACAATTTGACACTTATACAAGGAAAAAATAAACATACAGTATCCTCTAAGTTCACTTTCCACACTGAATAATAATTAATACTAACTTCAAATGATGACTGGATCCAAGTGGTATGAGTTTCTTCAACAAACGTTGTGACGGACTTCTCAAGGCTACGTATACGAGCACTAGAAATATCAAGATATTAGACTGGATTATGACTTCTCTCTGGAGAAAACCCTGCCATGTTTGGTACTGCATCATACTTACGTGTTCATGACATACAAGGCCATGTGTACCATATAAGGAATGATGTTGAAATTACTCTGCCGGCCTCCACCACCGGAATCTTCGTTGAAAGATTTCTCAAAGGCAAATCTCTCGAGCAACAGACGCATATCATGAACAGTGTTGTGAAATGTCGGTTCAATGTGACTCGTCGCTTCTTGGATGTAGTTATTGTGTCTGAAGAGGGAAGAAATAGAAACAGTGGGTATACGCTGAAGTAACAAGAAAAAATATCTGAGAGAAAAAATATCACTGGCGCTTAATGGATTAACAAAAGATGTGGTTAGATAGTATATATACCTCGCTAAACAGCTTGCAAATGATGACTCCGGAACCTACGAACGATATGATGAAATACGTCCAATTAAAGTTTCTCACGTTAGAAGCAATGATTGTCACCATAAACTAAGTATTAAACATTTCTTGAACTATACGTTCAACTCCTTACCTGTGGTCCCCAGATGGGCAACAATCCGTTACACTTGGTGTTTGAATTCTGCAACGCCGCACTCTCCCACTCGTCTCGACCACGAGCCAGTCTAACACATGACAATGTAAAAAAATATTATTTAGGAAATCGTTTGTCCTTCAGCCACTGGAAAAACTTTTAATTTTTTCCAGGTAATTCAGGTATACAAATTACGGCAGCTTATTGTCCAATACACCACGTTTGAGATGTTACAATTAGTTACCTGATTGCCGCAACATGACATTCATAATGAACAATATTGAAGTGACTGACTGTGCTGTAACCCTAGATTGGAAAATTGACAATCTTATAGCAAGTCTTTCGATTCCTTACAGACATCACAAGTTCTACTAAAGCTTCCAGAATCTGCCAAGCAATTTCACATTATTTCCAATGTAATAAAATACAGTACTCACCTGCGTTTTTCGTTGTTTTAATTCAAAACTATCCAAGATGCAACGCTTAGTGTACGTGTAAATACCAAGAACCTGAAAATACGTCGTGTGTTTTAAGAAAGAATTCACTATATTCTGTCAACTGCTATTTCACTCGCAAGTATGAACTAACAATATTCTGACAACTGTTATTTCACTCGCAAGTGTGGACTAACAACATTCTGTCAACTGTTATTTCACTCACCTTATTAGGATGATATTTATAACCTTCACGGCAAATACAACAGGTTAAACCGGTTTCATTAGAAATTTCTTCAAATCCTTGAACGACTGCAGAGGGTTTGGTGATTATTTTTCCACTTTCAGTAGCCTAGAGGAGTCAAGAGAGCTTGAATGTGATAAACGTCAATACAACAATACTAGAACGATATTGAGAAGACATACACTCATCCCGAGAGCTCCAAGTTGTTTCATTCTCATTGCCATCGCCAATTTCTTCTTTTCCAGTCTGGTTTCACGACGGACGGCGGTCACCTGGAACAAACCACACACTTTAACCACTGTATTTGACATTTATGTAGTTATCAGTTGTCAATACGAAGATGATCCTTGCTTGACCTCTGGCGAGAACAGTTTAGGATTGATAAAGCTATCCAGTATAAAGAAAGTTAGTTTTACCTTCGTTTTAGCGTCAGGATGTTCTTTCAAAGCTTCCATCAAGTTCTCAGCCAAAGATCCAACTTTCTCTTCTGATGAGACTTGTTCCAGACGATGGATTGTCGGTACTGCTGTTTCAGACACTGCCAACTGAGGGAGGAAACAACGAATGAAGTAAATAATGATTCTCGTCAAAAGATGAACCCATCACCGCCGATATTTGTTGTAATTTATCAATTTACTCAAAAGTACTAGGTATCTAGATGTTTGTGATAAGTCATAAGGAACAATATTTCCTCTGGTCTTAAGAAGTACTAGGTATCTAGATGTTTGTGATAAGTCATAAGGAACAATATTTCCTCTGGTCTTAAACTCTCATTACCTGAGAACGTTCATGACCCTTGCACATTCCAGACAAGAATTTTAAAATGAATGGCAAAGATGGCCGAGAAAGAAATTCTTTCCACAAATCTGTGTCACTCAAGTTTGATGTGCTGAAGAAAAAAGAAATATACCGAGTCACTAAATATCATAATAGTAAGAGTAATATCATAGTAATATCACACAGTAAAAGCACGCTAACCACATCTGTCAGCCATGCTTTGTGAATGACCTGGCCATACCTGAATGCTTGCGAGGGAGTATACAGCTCCAGATACTGAACAGCTTGTTGTACTAATCCTTTATCAATTATGATATTCTTCAATTGATTGCCATTCTCATCATTCTGATAAATAGGTAAGATACGAGAAATGACCAACTGATTATTGCCGTGATGAGGTATTATCATATCAAGTGAGTTATATCACTAGATCTATATCAAGCGATCATTATCACTAGAACTATATCAAGTGGCATACCTCAATACCATCAGCAATGTTACAGAAACATTCCAGGAATAACAGCTCATCATCTGAATGCGTTTTGTCAAACCTGGAGAATAAATTCGTCAATGATTCTTACAATCCTGAACTTTGACCTAAAATTTCTGATCCTGACTTTTATTACAACCCAAATCCTAATCTAAACTTTAATCCTAATCTAAACTCTAAATCTAATCGTAAGACTAATCCTACTCCAATCTCTTACTGAAACACAAGTGGAACTTACTTTTCAAAATTAAGGTACGGTTCAAAGTGATCAATCAGAGCGTTCATACTTTTCTTATCTCCAAACGTTAAGAAGGGCAGAATGTGCATCAAGGACAGTAGAACGTTGTTATTCGAACGCTTGAAAAGAAAAGAGAGCATTTAATACCAGACATTTTCCTACCTGTAGGTAGAAACTACTTCTAGCCGAGATAGAGTTGTTCTGTATAAAAGTTCTGTATACCATACGATCATGTTAGTGTGAGCCCTATACTATCTTACCATACCATACTCAGCAGTGACTTACAACGTAAGGTGTTTTGATAATCTCCAGTAACATCTCTAACTGAGATTCTTCTTCTTGTCCAGCAGCTATCATCAGTTTCATGTTTGCACCTCCTCCTTGCAGGAGAGTTTCAATAATTGACAAGATTTGTTCTGCCATAGTTCCAATACCACTGGGTGTGGCTTGTTCAACACGCAAGATCTATAGTCGAGAAATCAGCGTAAAAAGATAGACACCAGAAACCATAGGTCTGTATTGGAGAACTGAATTAATGTTAAAAGCAAGTATCTAAGTTTGGAGATGGGCGTGGTTGGTGATCAAAGCCAGTTGGTAATCTGGCCTTGTAGGCCAAATCCGCAACGTAGCAAAAAGCCAAAAACTGTGTGTGGCTTGAAGAAGGTTGTGGCGAAAGCAAATGAAACTACATACGTATTTATTCAAAACCGAATACAAGAATATTTCGTATAATGGAATAAATACAATTTATTTTCCAACTGCTGGTTGAACAAATCCACTAAAATAAAACATGAAAGTTCACCTGGTTCAAAACGTCCAGCAAGATTTTCAAAGTCTTGAGCGATGGTTTCGCAAGATAATCACGATTTGCCTAAAAACAGGGTTGAATTTTGAGTGTACAATCTTAAATAACATTTAGGAAATTTCTAAACAACTTTTGCAAGCATGTAGTTGAGATATCATACCTTGACTTTGACACAAAAACCAAATAATTTCAAGATGACTTCAAGAAGTTGACGCCCACGAACTAAGTCTCGTAATCCTGACAACCTGACAAACACGAAAAGTAATTTAGGAAATTCTTAACTTTATTCACATAGGACAGTTCTATCAGTTCTAAACAGTTTTCCCTAGACGTTCAGCAAGTATATGTGTTTCACCTTTTCAAGATGGCCTCCAGACCTCCACACTCATTCATCACGTTTGCCATCTTGTACACAATCTCATTATCAACACCTTTCTCTGAAAAATAAACGCAAGACTCATTAATATGTGAATGACTCACAATTAAACATTTGCATTCAGTCTTTTTCATCAACTTACGATTGTTTTTATCCAGATGTTCAACAATATCCTCAGTGGCGTCGCCCAATAATCCTACACAACAATGTGTGAAAACAGTTTACACGATGTCTTCTGCACGATGTAAAATAAATAACAATAACTGTACCTCTCATTCGGTAAACTACTTTCATAGGTTCACCCTATAACACAATAAATTAGGTCAATGTAATCCACGAGTGAGATTAGGTTTACGTTTCCTCCTATAGTGACACTGGATCAATAAGAACTGGACTTACTGGACTAGGAAGTAGGAAGAACAGCTTAGAAGTGATAAAGCTATCCAGTATATAGTTAGTTAGATTGATGAAGATAGATTCGGCAAGTCTCACCTCTCCCTGTGGACACCAGATCTTCTTATAAACTTCTTTGACAGGTAAATCCAGGCTGATGATCTTAGAGTTGACGAGAAGCTAAACATAAAGACATATTATGTAAGAATATATGAAACATAGGAATTCTCGATGAAAGCAAATTTAGACTCACCTCCATGCCAGTGTCGTCTTCAAGCAAAGCAATCAGATCACAATCCGTGCATATCTTGTTTTTAACATCTCTCATTAACGGACCCATCCCAGTATCAGTCGACCTAGAATAACAATGTGAGTGTGTAAAACTTATATTCATCCTGCATCACGATATCAAGTACGACTTACTTGTAAGGGTTACCCTGCATGCGACCTTGGAGGAAATCTTCTTGTTGAGGATCTTTCTCTAACAACAACAGAAACTCACTTGTGTCGTTCTCCTCCTGAAATAGAGAGAGGATGGTTTAGAACTGATAGATCTACCCAGCTTGAGAGATGCTATCATACTTACAGGATAAATGATGTTACACAACCAACGCATGCTATCATACTTACAGGATAGATTATGTTACACAGTCGTTCGAAGATGAACACAGGAGTACGTAGGTCATCCAGTTCATATCTGAAAGGTAAGAATATTGTTATTGGAAACTACAATTTTCTGAAATCTACCATCGTCTGACTTCAAAGACGATACAAACCTCTTTAATGTGTTCACACAAATTGCCATAAATTCTTTCGTTTCAGACTCAGTTCCTAAACGATTAGGACAGAATCAAAATAATATACACTAGATCATGTTCAAAGGAGAGTATGTTTGAAGATTGAAGTAATTAATTAATTAAAACAATACAACATAAACATACCAGACGTCAGTTCGCCCAAAAGATTCAACAAAATTTCCTGACTTTGATCAACTAACTTCGTTCTTTGCACAACCAATCTAGATCGAAGGTTCAAGGTTTCATTTAGAAATTTAGAGCTAAGCACTGCATAGTACTAAGGATCGGAGGAAAGGCAGTTACCTGCGTAGTGAGAGATAACCATTCAGAACTGCACCCACAAGTTTTCCTTTGAAATCTTGCTTGATCTTTTTATCTTCCACAAAGGACGCCATCAGTTCTTAAGAAAAACGTCAACTTTAAAATCACAAAGTAATAAAATATAGTTGATTGTTTAAAATAACATTTTTAGAAGTGGAAAGCAGTGATTGACTCTAGGCATGGCGATACTAGAATTCTCAAAGATAGAAGTTTGATATGCTTTTGGTTGAGCAAGTTACCATTAAATTTTAACCAAAAAGATTTTAAAATATCACCTGCCGAGTCAATATTCGTCAGAAAATAAAGCCATCAAGTTGTTATGATGTAACGAAACATACCTGTAAGTCTCTTCAATGAGTAACCTTGAGATAGATCTGAACTTAACGTAGTTTCTTCCAAAACTGTCAGCTGTTCGATCTCCTAAAAAGAAAACAATATAGGTCATCATCTGTAGCTGTTCGATCTCCTACAAAGAAAACAATACAGGTCATAATCTGTAGCTGTTCATTCTCCTAAAAAGAAAGCAATACAGGTCATGATCTGTAAGTGTTCATTCTCAGCTGCAAACAACGGCACGTACGTTCATAATGAGATCTCTGATAATGAGTAAGGCCCCACTGGTGGCGAGGTAACCTTTCCACAATGATGGCTTCATTAACTCAGAATACAAATTGAAAAATTCCGTCGCATTTTCCCCAGCCTTGCCAACACCTTGTAGATAACTAGAATAAATAAAAAATAAGTTGATTCACAAATATCACACGTAGAGTTCCACTGCAGGCAGTATTATAATGTGGTAACTGGCGGCTGAAATAGATTAAAAACCCAGTGAGGAGTTTGAGGTTACCTCCCAAATAATCTCCTGATAACCATACCTGGTCAGTAGATCCATGATCTTACGTTTCCGCCCAGGAATCTACAGAAAACAATCACACAGTTTATAATCACAGACTATTTAGGACACTTTCACTATAGTGCAGTCGATGCTGGACAACGATCGATCCCTAAATACATGTCAACACTTCTGCAGTAGATGCTGGTCAACGATCCTAAATACATGTCAACACTTCTGCAGTAGATGCTGGTCAACGATCCTAAATACATGTCAACACTTCTGCAGTAGATGCTGGTCAATGATCCTAAATACATGTCAACACTTCTGACGTAGATGCTGGTCAACGATCCTAAATACTTGTCAACACTTCTGACGTGGGCCCACCATCAACCTCCCCATAACTATGAAGTACTTCATGTCTTACCTGACATACTGTCTCTACAATACTACATGCAACTTGTCTCAAAGCGCCACATGATGGCGAGAACATGACGTTTCTTAACCATTCTTCATTTAAGTCATCCACTGACTCATCACTCGTCTCTTGTAGGCTCGCCCCGTTCGCCCCAGGCGTCTGAGTTGCGCGACGTTCCCATTCTTCGTAGCTTGCTTCCGGCTGGGACTCGATCCAGTCCTTCATGTTTGCTATTGGCGCGGCTTGTGCTTTCACTGACGCTATTTCGTCGATATTCTTGTTCTAATAATAAAAATGTGTTAAGATACGTTGTAAATATGCTGTTGATCGCTACTCTGGTTCAGTAATGTTATCCTGTTTACATTCATGAAAGTTGAAAACCACATAGATAATAACATCGGTAACTATTGGTTTGATTCCTGCATCGTCTGATTATAATTTCAGCTCAGTCGTATGTGAGGAGAGAGCCTTCGGTTTGGTTCCACCAAACATTACAGGTTTTCTCCAGGTAAGCCAGTTTCCTTGTGTGAACACTGGACCAATGCTGGACCTCCAGGGGAGAACAGTTTAAAACTGATAGAACTGTCGAGTATAAATAAAGTTAGTCATTAGAGAATAAAACTTACAGCATTAGTTTTAGTTGTAGCAGGTTTTGGTTTAACAAACTGAGATAAGATCTTGAGACAAGGTAGAGTGACGGCTTGTACCACTATAGGACTCACGTGTTGTACAGATAGTAAGAATATCTGAGTCACTAAAACACAACAAATAAGTGAATTATGGTTAAAATTAGGAGGGTCACACTAAGTCTGACATGGTAATCAACATACCACAACGTAATCTTTGCTCCCAACACGAATCTTCTAGTTCTACAGTTTTCGTCAACAACTGCATATCACGACTTATTGAGGAAGACTACAAAACAACATTTTTATTCAACTCAAACTTGCTTGAGGGTTAGGAGATTGGTGAAAACGTAAAGGTTAGTATAAGAATAACAGTTAGGAGTAGAACTGCAGGAATAGTTTAAGACTTACAAATCACTGTACGTAAATAGTGATTGTTAAGATGTTGTTAATGTCGCAAGATAAACTTACCACAGAGGGGTTTATACTTTGTTCTTTCATTCCTTTGGTAACTCTATCCACCAGTATTGTATTGAGTTCTGCGGCAGCATCAGGATTATTTCTTGTCAAAAGGCACAGTAGATCTCGAACATTGTTTCTGATTGAACATGTTCCTTGATACAAGGTGAAGTTCACCAATTCAACAATCAGACCCTAAATAATTGAGATGTAAACACTGAAATATCGGATAAGGTTGAGCAGCCTAGCGGACAGTGTCACAGTAACTGGTGCACGAGACATTCATCTCTGTGTCTGGGGTTTCCTTCCTGAAATATGCAGATGCATAATTACGATATCGTCACATCAAAAAGAGTTTTTCATGTTTGACTCTACCAAACACCATAACTCTTCTCTGAGAATTATAGTTTCACCCTGTAGTAACACTTGACCAATAAGGATAAGCCTTACAGGAGCTCTAGAAAGGCAGGTTTTAGTTATCAAGGTCGGCTCAGGCATTTAAAGAGAATCGTCTTAATTTACCTCTTTAATGAGCGTGTCTCGTGTAGATGGTTTCATTGCCAAAGCTTTCAATAAAGTCACACAGTGTTCAGTGGCTGCAGAGGAACATCCATAACATCGTCCAGGAACAGATTGTGCATCTGATATTGTAGAGAGTTGCTTGGCTGGTGCTCGTGGTTGTGTGCCTTCACTTGATGTTATTTTGTCTCTAACGCGAGTATCGTATTCGATCAATTCTTTACGGGATGCAAGCACTTTCTGCAAATTATTATTACAGTAGAAATTTAAGTACTACTGTACACTCGTAATAACTAACAATCACATTTTTCTTACTCTGCAAATGTCTGCAACCCCCCCCCCCCCCATGTGACATACCTGTGTAATCTTGCTAAGTTCATCAAAGTTGCCCTTACAGTCAACACAATATCTCTGAGCTACAGCTTGAATACTTTTATTCACAGTCTGACCGCCCGCATTGCCCGAGACTGATGACGTACTCACATGGGATGTTTCACTCTGAAAATGATATTGATGACAAGATAAAGCTATCCAGTATAAACAAGTTTAGTTAAGGCTATTTTTGACACGTTGAACAATGAATATTATTCAACCTTGTTCAGTGACGTCACAGTGATGTCATTATGATGTCATACTAATACGTTATACCTTAATAAAATCATTATCTCCCTGTTCTGCTATCTTCATCAACAAGGAATCCAATGGCTGTCTATGAGCGACCAACTGACGATACATTTTATCAGCACGATCCAGTAAAGTGTTGATACTTGTGACAGCCTACAAAAAACAAGACAAAGTATTATGGCGTCTTGCGGACACTGTGGTTAGTGGTTAGTGCATGCATCTTTCATCTTTGTCACCAAGCTTTATTTCCTGCAATATGTACTTGTCTCATTACAATTTCATCTCAGTCACATGTGACAAGAATGCTTCCAGTTTGACTCTACCAAACACCCCAATACAAGATGATGGGGGAACAGTTCAGAACTGATAGAGTTACTCAATATAACGTTAATATAGTTGAGTTATTTCAGCAATATCATACCTTCTTCCTGTCCTCTTCGTTTTCAATTGGGTCTACAGCACAACAAGGTTTGGCTGTCAATGTTAGATCGAACTTGGCATACTTGCAGAAACCACAAGCATTGCAGAGGAACGGGTCTTTTTCATCGTAATTGATTGATCTAAAAACAGTTGAGAACAAAACAAATTGATATCTCAAACATGGGAATCGGTTGACACTTTTGTAGGTGGTGTTCTACATAAAGCTGAACTACTTGAACCCCCTACATTTGAGATATCTTTTTCAGCCATATCAGACACAAACCACAGCAGCTTACTGTAGAATACTACAGTACCTAGTGTAAGTTGCCAGGCATGTATTTCAAGAAAGACGTTCCATACCTGCACTTATGGCACTGATAAACATTCTCTCCACAGTTTCCACAGACGCCAGGGTTGGCTGGAACTGGAGCGCTACATCTAGGACACTGCAGTGTTTCTGAAGACGCTTGAAGATTCTCATAGAAATCTGCGTACTCTATCATGAGATTGCATGCAACGATTGGCAGAGGAAATTCGATTTTGACCTCAGTTTGTCCTTGAATAAGATGGCATTTCTTTGCCTTTTGCCAGACCGCTGTCTTGTTTTTTAGTTCTACGACTGACTGAACAGATCTGTTGTTGTAGTAGAGATTAATTGTTTTCACCTGAAATAGAGAGGTCAGTTTTTAGTGCTGTGTGTATATAGTATATATGTATTTCAAAACTAGAACAATTCTACTGCAGGAGGAAACCTAAATTAAACTAACTTTATTTATACTGGATAGTTCTATCAGTTCTAAACTGTTCTTCCTAGAGGTCCAGTAAGGATCATCCCTTATTGATCCAGTGTTACTACAGGAGGAAACCTGAATTAAACTAACTTTGTTTATACTGGATAGCTCTAAAGGCCCCCAGTAAGGACCATCCAGTTTTGCTGAAAACCTTTTTGCTGAAAACTTGTACCGTGCAAGTTGAGTGTTATTACAAGAGAAAGTGTCCGGGGAAAAACATGTTCTCAGTTTGAGTGAAGCAAAATGTCAATCAAACAACAGTTGAACAGCGCTTATAAAAGGTGAAAAGCACATCCAGCAACCACTCGACCACAGACACCCAACATGAGAACCACTATGTCTCACCATTTTCTGTCGTTTGACATCAGTGACACGAAGAGTGACTTTGGAGATATTATGGCTTCCAACCAATTTCACCATATGAGATGTTGTCGAGAATCTCGCATCTGCTTTGATCGCTGAGAGTTTGTTATTATTGTACGGCACTTCAGGATTATTGCACACCAAGCAAGGATCACTTTCTAAATAGAAACCATCGAAGTCCACCAAGCCAGAAAGTAACCTACAAACATAGAATACTGAATAAGAAACCATGCATAAAGATTAAACATTTATAGGTACAACACAACCACATTACTCCATTCCATTTATTTGGCATCTTATTATTAGCATGACAAAATTACTGGATGCTGATTGGTTGAGAGGAGTACAATTATTTCATTAATGATGCATCTTGATGAGTGATCAGTCTTTTGAGAAGTATTACTGACCTGTAAACATTTGAGTTCGCATGATTTCGGAGAATTTCATTTTGTTTCGTCAACAATGCAATCGCTTTCTCAGAAAATTCCGCAGCTTTCTCTTCAGACAGAGAGCGTTTAATGGTGAAGTAGCCCAGGAGATCCACAAACTGCGCAGCTTTACGACCAAATGCTGGCAGTTCAGGCCACACACTCCACATCATGTCAGAGAGATTGTCTTGTTGCGCAGTCTCTGAATTTCTAAATATAAGATAACGTTAGGTAAGATAATTAAGATTGGCCTAGTCGATAGCTCTATCAGTTCCAAACTGTTCTCCTTACAGATCCAGTGTTATGACAGGGGGAAACCTAAACCACAATTTATACTGGATGACTCTATCAGTTCTAAATTGTACTATGATCCAGTGTTACTACAGGAGGGAACCTAAAATAAACTAACTTTATTTATACTGGATAGCTCTATCAGTTCTAAACTGTTCTCTCTAGAGGTCCAGTAAGGATCATCTCTTATTGATTCAGTGTTACTATAGGAGGAAACCTAAACTAAACTAACTTTATTTATACTGGATAGCTTTATCAGTTCTAAACTGTTCTTCCTAGAGGTCCATTAAGAATCATCTCTTATTGATCCAGTGTTTATACTATAGGAGGGAACAGGGATGGATCCAGCATGATCTGGTAGGGGGGGGGGGGG